TCCATCAAATTGCCAAGTTTCTGCTGATTCTAAGGCTGGAAGTTCTCCAGTCTGTCCCCTCCTCTCCATTCTCGCAGTGGTGCCTGAGCATCGGCCTTCAAGGCACACTGCATCTATTTCCCAATGTGTCCCTTTCTATACTCGGCCCTTCCTATCCATTCTCCACACTGCTGCCCAAAGGCACAACCTTTTAAACACCTTGCAACTCAAAGTGTGGTCTAGACCAGCCGCTTCGATGTAGAGTATTCAGTCCCCCTTCCTACTCTTACCCCCTTGCTCCAGACCTCCTGAATCAGGGTTTGCATTTGGAGAACACCAGGCCATGCTCTCTGCACAGCATGTGAGAAGCACTGGTTTAAAGCACAGTTCTAAAAGTATCTGAAGGCTTCCCATGGCTATACAACACCATCAGCGGCTCCTCTCCGTTATGGACATACGACACCACAATCCCCTCACAAGCACCTGTGCTCCAGCTGCACAGGCTTCTCCACAATTATATTCTCGTAGGTATCTTGCCCTTGCCCAAGAGACACAGTACATGAAATCAATCAGGACAATGCCTGATGCATAACAGGTCCTCAATACATGATAGCCAGATATTGAACCATGCAATCTTCAATTTGATCCTTACAATAGCCCTTTGAAGTACCTATAACTAGTCGCCTTTTCTTAGAAAGGAAACACATCCTTGGGGAGGTTAAGTAGCTTGACAGGCCACTCATCTAAAAGGGCAGAGCCATGACTCAAAGGCTTCTGTGATGCCTCTAACCCCATAGCTACCCCCTTGGTGCTTGTGCCTCCCGGTGAAGGTGATTCCTCTGCCCGTGAGCTCCTCCTTGCTTTCCAAAACCAAGTTTAAATTTGCGTATTCCTCCTCTACAGTCATAGCTCTGTTTTCTAGAGGAGGTAGCTGAGGCTCAGGGTGCCTAAAAGACTTGCTCAGTTTCCCTGGCTGGTCCCTACTCTGGAAAACACCAGAATTAGACTCAAACCTGGGCCTGCTTCCTCCATAGCTGAGGCAGAGAGTGACTCTGGGTCATACAGAAAGCCAGAATCAGGCTTTCAGTTCCCAGCAAACATGAAACAGAGGAGTCAGGCCATTTCAAAGAGAGGAAAGGTCTTGTCAACAAGACATCGTTACTGTTTCTTCTGCACAAAGCCTTTTCTCAAGATGATACTAAGCAACTCCAAGTGGGGACTAAGGTCCCACGGCTGCTTTCTCATCTCTAGCTGCAAAAGGTTTCTCTCTAATAGAACATATCTGACTCCAATGGGCAGGGCAAAGCAGTGGGATCAGCTACAGAGTCTT